TCCTCCTCCTCCTCCTCCTCCTGGGGTCGGACGGGAAGGGGATCATAGAAAAGGATGGGCTGGCGAATCCGCTCATTACGTATAGCTGCCTTGCCCAGCGCCTGCTGTCGCCAGAGGCGCCCCAGGCATGGAGGAGTGCGCCCGGCGGCGGGGAGGAAGCCAGCTGCATGCAGCAGATGTGGTAACCTGGAAGGATGAAAAGTGGAGGGAGGAAGCAGAGGAGGCGACAGAGGAGGGGGAGGCGGAAAGGAGGGCAAGGGGGAGGGGGAGGATGAGGAGGATCGGATCATACACCTATGGGGCAATTCATCCAGATCTTGACTGAACCCGGAAGCTGGGAAAAGGGGGAGGAAGGGGAGCCCTGATCGTTGGACACTGGAATTTTCCAGTCGCGACCGACGAGGTCGGTCGCTACCGAGTTTGCTTTGACTTTCGGCATCGGTCGCGACCGAGTTGCTTCAAAATCGGTCGCGATCGATCGGTCGCGATGGGTGGCGACCCATCGCGACCGATTTGGGGATCAGTCGCGATCGGTCGCGACCGATTTGGAGTGCCGATCGGTCGCTACCGATCGCGACCGAAAAAAATCAGTATCCAATGATCTGGGGAGAGGGGAGAAGATTGTTCCGACGAGCCGGGCGCACACGAACTTGGATTGCAGATCCGTGGGCCTGGTCGGGCAGGGGTCCCTCCGAAACACGAGGCCCGTGGCCCGTGCCACCCGATTTTTGGCGACGGCGCGCCACGATGTTGCATACATAGAAGAAGAATCGGCGGCATAACCAGATTTCTCGGATCCGCGCCGGACCTCCTCCCTGGCGCGCAGAGCGCGCCAGGGGCGGCGCCGGAGGCGCCGCCGGGGGGGGGATCAGCGCGGAGCCAAGAAAACCGCGCGGAGCGCCACAAGTTTATTCACTACCTACCACCAGACCGCCGCAACTAAACCCGAAGACCCAAATTTCGGGTCTGGGGAGGGGGGTACGGGCTCCACATGTATTTTTCTCCATGTTCCCCGACCCCCCCCCCACTGGAAATGGATGGCAAACCGAGGCCTTAGGGTTGGGTTGGGTGGCTTGGTGGGCGGTGATTTGTGTCTATGCCGTGTTTTCTTTTTCGGGTGACGTCGGGGTCTCGGATCCTGGCCAGGCCCCTCCCTGGGTCTAGGCCAAGGTCTAGCGCCAAACGTTCACGCTTATGCGGTTTGAGGAGGAGGAGGAGGAGGAGGATTTCCTCCTTCGAACAGAGGCGGGGCCCGTCGCCAATCGCGAATCCACGCGCGTGGATCTGTGCGACCGCGCGTCCTCGAGAAGCGGCGCGTTGTGCCCCCCTCCCCCACCCCGGACGGTCGCCCCCCCCCCCCCCCCCCTCGCTGGCGCTGGCCTCCTCTCTTCGAGCAGGGGATCGACCACATGATCGATCCCCCCCCAAAAATGAATCTCCCCGTCGAACCCTGAGACAAATACTCGGAATTCTAAAATCGACGTGCTCGTCGAAGAACCGATGGGGACCAGAGCAGTTCTGTGGTCGATCCCCCTACTCGAACCTCTCGGCGCGCGGTCCGCCGCGGCCTCTCCTCGTCGAGGTCCGACTGGAACGCGAGGAGCTGCCCCTTCAGCACCGAGAACTTCTTGCCCGTGGAGTCCTCGGGCGGCGAGGCGAGGGGGGGGTTACAGTCGACCAGGATAATAAGGATGCGCGGTAAGGATGCAAGGCCCTTGGAAACCCATTTCGAAGCATTCGAGCGGCGCGAGGCCAACGGAAGTGGCCAAGGATGCACCGAGGAGGCAAGGATGCAAGGGTACCCTTGGGAAGGCCGCCCATCCTTACTATCATGGTTGACTGTAAGTGAGAAGGACCAGGCCTTCTCAGAAGGCGGCGGGACTTCTCAGGAGGCCTCGCGCCTCCTGAGGAGCTTTTGTTGTGTCCTCGGGGAAGGCTCCGAAGACTTCTCGGAAGGCCCGGGGGGCTTCCGAATCTTCTGGCCAGGCCTTTTCCTTCTCACTTCCCCCCTCTCGCTCGCCGCCGAGTCCTGGGACGCGCACACCTTCTCGTCCAGCTGCCGCATCTTCCCCTGCAAGTGCTCGAAGCGCGTGTTCCTATCCTTGGCGTGTGGGGCCCGGGGGTGAGGGCGGGAGGATGAGGGAGCAGGGAGGCGGAGAGGGGAGGATTGAGGATCGAGGAGGGGGAGGGGACAGAAGAGGAGACGAGAAGAGGGAAGAGTAGAGGAGAGAAGGATTGAGGACAGGGGGGGGGATAGGGGAGAATTGAGGAGGGAGGGGAGGGGAGGGGAGGGAGGTGGGGATGAGAGCAGGCAGGAGGCAGGCAGGAGAGAGGGATGAGGAGACGAGTCGCAAGCGGCGAATGTATCCGTAGTCACGCCCTCGCGGAAAGAATTGCGGGGCGCGGTTCCGCGGATGCGCGGTCGCACGATACGCTCCGCGCGGGTTCGCGGTCCCAGGGCCCGGACCGTGAGGCCGCGGATACGGGCATGTGTTTCGCCCCAAAAAAAGGAAGAGGCAAGAGGGAAGCACAGATGAGGAACGGTAGTGGGAGCCGGGTTGGAAGAAGAAGAAGAAGAAGAAGAAGAGAAGCAAGGGGGGCCCTGATCAAGAGCAACGCGGTCAGCTTGAAACGCCCACTGGCGCCTGCCGCCTACCGTCTGCTTTCATCCCATCGCTGACTTCCGCAAAAAGCCATCGTTTCCCTCCTCGACCACCCTACCGTCCGCCTGCGCTCCTTCTCTTCCTCTTCGTGTTCCTCCTCCTCCTCCTCCTCCTCTTCCCGTTTTCTTCATCGACCTCATCAATGTTTTCTTTCGATGCATCTCATCCTCCTCCTCCCTCTTCGTCTCTGCCTTCCTATCTTCAGCCTCCTTCTAACCATAGGCTCGAGTCCTGGTCGAGCCCCGCATGGAGCACGCACAGCTTGTCCGAGAGCCTGTCGAGGCTTCCCAAAAGGGGTCCGAGTAGATGGTGTCGGAGGATCGCGCCGCATCGTCGACGTCGGCGATGCATCCACGACATCGACGTGGAGAACATCGGGCTCCATGTGACTGTGTTTTCCGACCATCCTGTGGTGTTAGTTCCTCTCTCCCCATCCTCCTCCTCCTCCTCCTCCTCCTCCGCCTCCTCCTCCTCACTCCTCCTCCTCTCTCCTTATCATCCTGCTCCTCCTCTCTCCTGCACCACCTCCTCCTCCTCCTCCTAGATCCTCCTCCTCGATCCTCCTCCTCCCTCCCTCCTCCCATCCGTGCCTCTGCCCTCAGCGTGCCCATGTCGGCGCACCCCTCACACTCTTCGTGGCCCCATCCGGAGCCCCACCGAAAGCCCAAGTGGGAAAGTTCGCAAGGCGGTGCTGCACACCTCTTACACGCTTCTGTCCCCATTGGCCCATGGGGAGCCCTACCAAAGACCACAATGAGACAGTTCACGCGGCGGCGCCGCACGCACTTCGGTACACTACTCACGCGCTTCTGTGGCGGCGCCGCACCCATTTCGGCACACCTCTCACACGTTTTGTGGCCCCAGAAAGGGTTCCCCCTTCTTTGTCCTTCCTGGGATGGGGGACGGGTAACGGTAAAGCCTGGGCGGGATAAGGCAGGTCGGGGCAGGGGGCGGGTGCGCTGCGATCGCCATAGTTTGCGGCTGGGCACCACAGCATGTGTGCGTGTGAATGTGAATGTGAAAGTGCGTGAGTTTGTGTTTGTGCTTGTTTTTATGTTTGTCTTCGTCTTTGTGTTTTCGCGTTGTTCGTGGTTGTGTTTGTCTTTGTGTGTGCGTGTGTGTGAGGGGGGTCCAAGGCTACCCCCGTTACCTACGATGGTTACCCTGACCCGTGGGGGGGGGGCCAGGTAACGACCGCTGACTGTTACCAGCGTAGGATAACAACAACGAAACAACGAAACAAACAGACAACAAACGACACGCATCGTGCAGCATCGCGGATGCATCGATCATGGTCGCCCCAATGGCGCCCAGTAGCGGACGTGATGCATCTCCCTCAGATGGCATCCCTGAACGTTGTCAGGCGCCGTTTGGGCGCTATTCGGGGCTATTGGGCGCTCTTGGGCGCGGTCCTCGCGCTACTTGGCACTGCCCAACGATACACATTCAAAACAGAACGAGCGGAAACTTCCGTGACTTTACTATCTAACCCATCTACTCTCACCAGCGGCGAACGTGTCCGTATCCACGCCCTCGCGATATGGATTCTGAGGCGCAACCCTATGGCTAAGCGTCAGCAACCCCCAGAGGTCTGGACCGCTTTCCCGGGGCCGGTTTCGCATCCTGAATCGTTTTTTGACGGTCCCGGGGCCTGGCGAGGGCCCCCGGAGTCCGAAAGGTGGTGAAAAACCTTCCGTCGTGATTTCTTCTCAGCGCGAGGGGGTCTGGGCACGTGGCTCACTTAGGAGGCCTGGAGCCTGGCGATCCTCTCGCGGTAATCCGCCCCCTCCTGGGCGCCATCCGCGTCGGCCATGTGGGCCAGGCGCCTGCGGCCGCGCTGCGGCGGGCCGCGCAGAGTCCACCCCGCGCGGTCGGCAGGCTGCTCCGCACATGCGCTGAGCCGCCGCGGCCGCGGGCACGATGGCTGGGGCGCTGGTGGAATAGCCCAGAATGATACAACAAATAATGCAGGGACGGATTTCCCAGCATTTTTTGTTCATTTTGAAATATGTCTTGACTATTGTGTATCTTTCCTCCAAAATCCGCCAATAGGGGGACTTGCCCGACCTAATCCCACCAGCCCTCTGGGCGTAGGTGGTCTAGAACAGATCCTCTTCCACCCCTCCCTCTTCCCCCTGGGGGAGGGGTTTACCCCTCCCCCTACCCCCTCCCCTGGACCTGGACGGGGGGGGCCGCGGCGCGTTGGAGCGTCCAAGATGGCCAAAGATGGCTTCAAAAGCGCCTTAGAGAGCCCAAGATGAGCTCCAAGATGGCTCAAGATAGCGCAAGATCGCTCACGATGGCTCCCAAGATGCTCCAAGAGGCCCCAAGACGATCCCAAGACGGCTCCAAGTGGCCAAAGAGCTCCCTAAGGAGGCCCCGACGAGGCCCAAATCGTCCCAAAACCTAAGGAAAAAACAATGTGTGTTGCTTTCTCGCCTTTTCGCTTCCGATGGACATCCGAGGCCTCAAGATAGCTCCAAGATGGCCCAAAAGGGCCCCACGAGAGGCCCAAGAGAGCCCCAAGACGGCCCCCAAAGCGCCCAAGAGCGCTCCAAGAGGGGCCCAAGAGGCGATTTATGGGGCTCCCGAGGGGGGAGGCTAATTGGAGCTCCCCTCTTGTTTGATCGACTCCCTCCAAGATGGCCCCAAGAACGCCCCGAAGGCTCCCTAGAGCGCCTCAAGAAGGTCCCAAGAGGCGCCCAAGATGCCCCAAGGCGCCCCAAAAGCCCTCCAAGAGGCTCCCAAGAGACCCCCAAGAAGCCTCAAGAGGATTTCCGAAAAGGCATTCAAGACGCTTCTGGCTCTTCGGTTCGCCGTCCTCTTCCTCTTCCTCTTCCTCAACCACCTCTTCCTCTTCCTCCCTCCTCCTCCTCCTCCCCCTCCTCCTCCTTCTCCTCCTTCTCCTCCTTCTCCTCCCTCTGCTCCTTCTCCTCCTTCTCGTCCTCCTCGTCCTCGCCCTACTCCATATCCTCCTTATTCTCCTCCTCCTCCTCCTCCTCCTCCTCCTCCTCCTCCCTCCTCCTCCTCCTCCTCCGACGACGACGACGACGACGACGACGACGACGACGATTCCTCTTCCATCCTCCCCCTCTCGGGGTCTGTGACAGCTTCCCCCGCCCTTTGTTATTCTGCATGCTCCCCGACTTCCCTGATCACCTCAACTCCCCTGAACATCGTTTCTGGATGGGCTGGTGGGGATACGCGAAACGTCAACAATTCGGGGGGTCGACGTGGTAAAAAGTGCACGACGTCGGGGGTCTTGGGGCGGGTCGCAGTGTGAACAAAAACAAATGGAAGTATCAACATGTGAGCCCGAATTTCGTAATCGCCAGCTGTTTGATAACCCTACTGGTGGTTACCAGAGCCGTGGGGCCGTCGGCAAAAATGCCTCACCAACATGCAGATTACGAAGTGGTGGTTTGGCCTGCTTGGGTAGCTTGTCACCGAGCAGGCAGACAGCAATGACCATCAACGAAATTCCCAACACGACGTCCATTCAAAACGATGGCGGCATTCGTTGCTCGTCGTCATCATTGTGATCGTCTTGCAAGCCCAAATCTCCGACGACAGGTTTGTTGTATGAATCCGGTCATTCTTCTTAGATTTCGGCCCATGGGGCCTGTGAGTGGGCCCCAGGACCATCAACAAATGTCCAGGACGAGGACAGAACACCCCTGGGGAAGGGGTCGGGACCTCTGGGGTTGCGCAGTGAACAAAAGCACATCGTCGGATGCCTGGGTATCGCAGGCGAGCTCGTGGGGGAAGTGAGTAGGAGAAGGCCTTCTCAGAAGGCGGCGAGGCTCCTCAGGAGCCCTCCGGCCTTCCGAGAAACTGTCTGCGTCGTCGGGGAATGCGCAGTCCTCGGAGGGCTGGGGGGCTTCCGAGTCTTCTGAGAAGTCCCGCCCCCTCTCGCTTCCCCCCCTTTGTTCGCCGCCGATGGCTGCAGTAGGAACTCGACCACAAGAAGCCTCCACAAGAAACCCGTGTCTTGGCGTGGACTTCCGCTGTAGCGTGGCGCAGAACAGGAGCCCGCACAAGGGTGCCTCTTCGGCTCCACTTCGCTCTGGCGTGGTCACGGGGCGGGCGGCGCAAAGCGTGGGCGGACGGCGCCGGGCCGGGCGGCTTCTGCAGGGATTCCCGCTGGGAGCGAGCTGCTTCGGCTGAAGGATAGGGCGGTATCAAATGGGACGCACAAGGGCACACGACCACTATAACGGGGGATACATGTCGGCCCCTATCCCGAACTTTGTGGGGCTCGTCGTTGTCGGTGTCGTCGTGGTCGTCGTCGTCGTCCTTCTGGGTCGGAGGCACCGGCCGCAAGGCCTTCATTATATAGCCAGATCTAGGCCAGAAGAATATCCCCCAAGAACATGAGACCCTCCTCCAGCCAAAACGAACAGAACATCCAAGGGTACCCTCCCCAGGATGCATCAGTACATCCAGCAAGCACGAAGAACCCTAGGGTACCCTCCCCGCACCGACCTCGATCTTACACATCGGTCGGATTGCATATGCATCGCAACACTGCAATGCCGATACCCTGTCTGCGAGCAAGCGGGAGTGCCCTCACCTGGCGACACTGACGTGACTCGTGGCAACTCTCGGTTACCGACTTGTCACCGACTTGTCCGTACAGCCTCGTCCGCCAGCCGAGCCCCTCGCTTCAAGGTGCTTCCAGTGGGCTTGCTGGGTCTCTGAGCCCATCGGAGGAAACGATATCCCCTGGTGGCGCCGCTGGCAGGCCTGACTTTGTCTTCGCGTGCCCATTAGAACTCCACCAGAAGCGCCCCGAGGTCCCAAGAGGTGATGAGAGGCCTCCGGAGGCCCAACAAAAAGCCGAGCACGTTCGAAGGCCTCGCGAACAAACCACGCTTGTACACAACTTTGGGAGTCGGCGGTCGCGGCGTGAGTCTCAAAGACAGACCGTGGTGGTCAAAACTCAGGGCTGCTCAAGCAGTGGGAAGCGACTCGTCACGACCAACCAGTCTGACGTTAACTCCCCCATCAGTCACAAACACTCCTCAGTTGACTAGACAGAAATATGGAGCGAGAGGCAAGGTCAGAGGGGGGGTCAGAGGGGCGATGAGAAAGGGGGAACGTGGGGTTTAGAGAGGTGAAGGGTGGGGGGATGACTTGGAACTTAAATTCGCCGGCCCAACGGGCCAAGGGCGTGCTAAGATCTCTGGTAACTGGTAAACAATATTCTAATTCGCGCGCGCGGGGCCGCCCCTGGGGGTCCCCGGACGAAAAGTACCCCGGGACACCCCCGGGACACCCCAGGGACACTCGGATCAGAGATGCCAGACCAGGTAAATTTTCGGCACCCCTCACGAGGATCGTGGCCTCCGAGGGGAGGAGCGCAATCGACTACCCCCCCTTCTGACCCAAGAGGTCCCCAAGACTGCCCAAGAGGCCCCCGAGACGCCCAAAGAGCGCTCCAAGACGCCGATGATGACCCCAAGACGGCCCAAGAGGCCTCCAAGTGGCCTCCACGAGGCCTCACAAGAGAGCCCGAGAGGCCAAAATCATAAATATATCATGGTTTTGGAAGGATTTTGGCCTTGTCGCCTTTTCGGCCATCCGATGCTCCAAGACGGCCCAAGAGGCTCCCAAGAGCGCCCCAAGAGGGCCAAGAGGCTTCCAAGAGGGCCCCAAGAGGGCCCAAGAGGGCCCCGAGACGGCCCAAGAGGCGCCAAGACGGCCCGCGACGGCCCCAGGAGGGGCCCAAGAGGGGGACCACGAACCGAAAACTCTAGCCTTCCGCCCCAAGAGGGCCCCAGGAGGCCCCGAGAGGCCCCCAAGAAGCCCCCAAGAGGCCTCAAGATGCCGCTAAGAGGCCCCCAAGAGGCCCCAGGAGGCCCCCAGGAGACCCAAAAGAGGCCCAAAGAGGCCCCAGAAATTCAAAAATGCCTCCCAGGCGCCCCCGAACGGCTTCTCAAAAGACCCCGAGAGGCCTCCCACAGAAGCATCTTGACGACCCTGTTTGGCCCCAAGAGCAACACAAGATGCCAACGAGAGGCTTCCTCCTCCGCCCCCTTCCCCTTCCCCTTCCTCCTCCTCCTCCTCCTCCTCCCCCTCCTCCTCCTCCTCCTCCTCCTCCTACTTATCCTCATCCTCCTCCTCTCCTTATCATCCTCTCCTCCTCCTCCCCTCCCCTTCCCCATCCTCATCTTCCTCCTCCTCCTCCTCGGCGGCGCCACAATGGCCCCGGGCCCTCGGCGAAGCAGTAGCGATCATGCAACATGGGCCGGCGGAATGAGCGAAGCGATTGAATATGATTGAAAGCACTGGGGACGCTATTTCCATTCGCTTTCAATGTGTCGAATGTCGGCCCAATATTGGCAACCAGATCGGGAGAACAACTGACATACAAAACGGAACCAACCCGACCAAGGTGCGAACATATCCTCGACCAAGAAAACCACATATCTCCCAAATGAAAAAAAACGTCGATCTGGACAACGGGAAAAAACGCCTCCCACCGCACGATTTGCAATCCTCTAAGACCTGGAGGGGCTCTCTATCAAACAGGCAGACTTTCCAGGCCCTGCCTGCCGCATCGCGCCGGGCCGCGCGGGAGCGCTCCTTCGATCGCCCGCAGCCGCAGAGTCGGCCAGATCAGCGGCAATCTGCGAGTCCTTAGCTGCCCCGTCGCCCGCTCTGCTTGATGCCTCACTCGTTTGTTCTCTCTCTCTCTATACATATATATATATATATATATATATATGTCCCTCCTCTGCGTCTCCACATGTTACCACTCTCACTCTTCTCTCTCTCTCTCTCTCGGTCTCTTCATCGGCGCCCGTATCTGGACTCGCCACTGTGCCGTGCGCGAAGGGTGGAGCGCCTCAGGTCCCCTCGGGCTCGCCCTGTTGAGTGGTCAAGTGCTCGTGATGGGGCCCCGACCTCCAGTTGCAGAATTTCCTGGGGATCCCAGCGTGACTCCCAGGGCCCCAAGCGAAGAGGGTCTCAAGGAGGGGCCCAACGGTCCAAGAGGGCCTCGCGTCGGCCCAAGGCCCCAGAGGCCCTTGAGACACCCCACGAGGGCCCTACGAGGACACAAGGCTGGGCCCAACGAGGCCAAATGTGTCTTCTCCCTTAAGTGGTTGGAGGATTGTAGCGTTCACGCCACTTCGGCCTTCCAACGCTCCAACAGGGCCCAAGAGGCCACCAGCGTCGCTCCGAGACTGCCCACGATGCCCCTCAGAGAGCCTAGGTGGGCCTCCGAGACGGTCGTCCCAAAGGCCGCCAAGAGGGGGCACAGAGGGGGAACTCGAACTGACCTTGGGAGCCTTTCCCCCGCAGATTGCCCCTAAGACCCAGGCGGAGGCGGAGGCGGAGGAGGCGGAGGCGGAGGCGGAGGACGAGGAGGAGGAGAAGCAACGTGCCCCCGACGAGCCCCCCAGATGCGCAGGAGGCTCCCACGAAGCGCTCCGAAGAGTCCTGCAAGAGGCCCCGCAGGCCCACCCAGAGCGCCCCCATGACGCCACTCGAGAGGTCTCCAAGAGGCCCCGGGGAGGCATCCAAAGCGACCCCGAGAGGAATTCCAGAGGCCTCTTTCTCTCTCTCTCTCTCTCTTTCAGTGGGAACTCGGCCACGAGAAACCTTCCACAAGAAACCCAACCATGAGACGCCAGGAGGTCCATTGATGTTTGGTGTGGGGACGTCACGTTGTCCATGGCACATGGCATCACCATCGAAATCCAAGGAACCCAGGGCACGCTGGAGGCAAGCAGGGTGTTTCCTGGCATGGGTATCCACTGTAATATGTTCTTTATCTCTCTCTCTCTCTCTCCTTTTCCCTCGTCCACATCTGTCAACATCCATCGTAATCTCTCTCTCTCTCTCTCGTTCCCTTTCTCTGTCCATAGCTACAGCCAGCTCGTACAATATAAGGATGCGCGTTCAGGATGCGAAAGGCCTTGGTGGGGCCACGTAAACGTTTTGTTTTTTCTCGAACGAGGCTGGCCAAAGAAAACCGCTAAGGATGGGCCGAAGGGGAAGGCTCCCGCTAAGGATGGGCCAAATCAAGTCGCGCAACGGCTACCGCCTGACGTTGTATCGAAGCATTGCGCTCTCGCGCGGCACTTCATCACAAGTTATACAGGAATCGCGCTCTCGCGTGGGACCGCCTCGAGATGTATTCAGAAGCCGCGCCCTCGACACTCAGGAATCGCGCGCTCGCTGTGGATTCCCTCTCGATGTACTTGGAAATCGCGCTGTCGCTCGAAAGCTTCTCGCGATTCATGCAGGACGCACGCTTCAGCAGCCCGCCTGCTCGACCTGGCCGCCTGGGCCCGCCTTCCCGACCCGCCCGCTAGGATCTACCCGCCCGATCTGCCCGCATGGTTCTGCCGAGTGTTTTCTGCTTCGAGACCCCCTCCTGCTAATTCCTCTCGTGTTCCATCCTCCTCCCTCCGCCTTGTCGTTTCCTTCCGTCCGTCCTCTCGTCCCCTGTGTGTGGCAGGTAAGAAAGGTGGACCCCTAAGGGGGTACGTTCGAAGACGAAGAGGGCGGGCATCCAAGTTTTGGGATAAGCGTGTTGCATGGCACGCGAGCGGATAAGAGCGAACAGTCTTAAAATGGTTGCTGCTGTTGTTGCTGATATCGTACTCCTGCACAACAATTATTGTAGACCCTCCAGTATGAAGTGCCCCTCCTGGGGCTCACACCCTGTTTTGTAATGCAGAATGCCTTGGTGCTCAAACTGCGCCCCTGGCCCCCGAACTACAACACCAACGGCCCCCGCCTGATATTTCCTCGCGATGAATTGACGAATCGCGCTCTCGTTTGGATATTCCTTGCAGCAATTTACCCAGGAATCGCGCTTTCGCCTGAGACTTCCTCGTATTTACTCAGGCGCCACGCTCTCGCCACTCAGGACTCGCGCTCTCGCTTGGGACTTCCCAGTAATTCGCTTAAGAATCGCGCTCCCGCCTGGGACTTTCTGAAGATTAATGCCAAACTCACGTCTTGGCGATTTTCAGGGACTCCGCCTGCGTTTGAGACTTCCTCGCAATCTACTGAACAATCGCGCTCTCGCTTGAGACATCCTTGCAATTTACTCAGGCGCCGCCGGCTCGCCATTCGGAATAAACGCCCTCGCCTTGGACTTCCCGACAATCTACTTAAGAATCGCGCTCTCGCCCGGGACTTCCTTGCGAATTATCAGGAATCACGCATTCGCGACCCGCCCGTTCGACGGGCCCGTTCGGGTCCGCCCGTTCGACCCGCCTGTAAGGCCCGCAATCGCCCCTCATTGCTTGTCGCCCGCTTTGATGCGTCTCGCTGCTCCTCGCGGTACCGCAGTTGGATTTCAACGCCTCGTAGCCATCATAGCCCCAGTGTGGCCCTCCGTGACCTCGTTGCTGCCCTCGGTTCACTATTGCTGCCCTTCGTGGCCCCATACATGCCCCTCGTGGGGTTGACACACCAGACTAATATCTATAGCGCTCACTAAGAAAACGCTGACTTTCACATTGAGGTCCGGAAGGGGCCACACATGCACGCACATGCAGTTCAGTCGCATGCGCATGCCCATGCGACTCCGAAAAGGGCTTCAATAGCATTGCCGCACATGCGCGCACAGTCCGATGCACAGTCGGATGCAGCCTAGAACAACTCCGCAAAGTATAAACGCACACCCGCACATGTCGCAAAGTCAAAGACTCGGGAAGGGAGGGATGAGTAAATGGGGAGGAGCAAACAAGAGAAAAGGATAGCGCGCGAGCGGCAAACACCATATCCAAATAAGGGATGTGACAGGCGACAGCACCAATCCAACACAGGGATGTGGTCAACGCTCTAAAGATGTATCACGCGAGGATGTCGCAGGCGAAAGTGACCTGGCTAATTCAGCTCATGGCATCTCGGATCTGAGAGTTGCGAGGATGTTTCAGGCGAAAGTGGCCGGACGACCATGGGCCGTGGGGCATGGCATCTCCGAGGTCAGAGTTGGGAGGACGTTTCAAGCGAAGATGGCCTGACCACCTCAGCTCAGGGCATCTCGGGATCGAGAGTTGCGAGAATGTCTCCCTGGGGCAGGGCATCTCCGAGATCAGAGTTGCGAAGATGTCTCAGGCGAAAATGGCCTCACCACATCAGCTCAGGGCATCTCGGAAACGAGAATTGCGAGCAAACCATGGCAGGAGCTGAATCGCAACTCGAGGCGCAAATCGTCGTCCGCCCTCCCTGTTGCCCCTCCCCTCGTCCCTCCTGTCCTCCGATCTGTTCGATTTGATTATCTCTCCCTTTCTCATTTTCCCTACGTTCTCCTGTTCGGGGCTTCTCCAAATACACGTTGCAGGAATAGAATGTAGCCCCCCAAAGGGGTACGGCCGAAGACGAAGATGGCGGGTATCCATTGTTTGGGATATGCCTATTCAGTGAGACACAATCAGATACGAGCGAACCGTTATAAAATGATTGTTGTTGTTGCTGCTGCTGCTGTTGTTGTTGTTGTGGTAGAACTCTCATTTCTAAAGAATAACTCGTACGGATCCCCCCCTCCAGGACACATGATGTTTAAGAAAAGTGCTCATCCCAGGGCTCGCACCCGGATTCTACAAGGGAAAACGAATGGTCACAAACTGGGACCCTGGCCTACAACGGCTCCAGCCGGATACTTCCTCGGAGTGTATTCCAAACTCGCGGTTTCGCGCGGGACTTCCTCACATGTCATGCGGAAATCGGGCTTTCGCGTGGGAGTTCCTCCCGAATTACTCAAAAGTCGCGCCCTCGACACTCAGGCATCGCGCTCTCGCTTTGGCCTTTCTCACGATTTACTTCGGAATCGCGCTATCGCTCGAGCTCCCCTCGCGATTCATGCAATATCCACGCTTCAGCAACCCGCCTGCTCGACATGGCCGCTGCGGCACGACTTCCCGACCCGCCCGTTAGGCTATACACACCCTATGGGCCCGTCTGGTTCTGCCACGTGTTTTCTGTTCCCAGCCTCCCTCCTGCTAATCCCATGCTCCATCCTCCTCCCTCCCCCTCCCATCCATCCTCCCTGGCCCTGTTTCAGGAGCTGCACCAATTACACGTCGTAGGTACGGAAGATATACCCTCAGAGGTGGTACAATCGAAGACGAAGAGGGCGGGCATCGAGGGTTTGGGATATACATGTTGAATGGCACGCGAGCAGATAGGAGGGATCATTCTCAAATGACTGTTGTTGGTGTTGTTGTTGTAGCTTGTGGGTCAGAGGGCCAACTTGACCCTCAAGACTCTCCCGGATGAAAAGCCGGGTGCGAGCCACGACAGGGGCACCCAACTGGGAAACATACCATGTGCGCCGAGGGAGGTGATCAACAATGATTGCTATTATTCTTATTAACATCCGCCGCTCTGCGGTTGATCGGGAGTTTCTGTATATATAGAAGAAGGGGCGCGCGCTTCTGGGCGAGAGGGAAACGACCGAGAGAAGAAGGGGCGGCCGCCCCACAGGACCTCTCCATGGTGCCGGAAGCCCATGAGGGCTCCCTCAGGGCCCCTCCCCCAGGGCCGGGGCTCCCTCGCCTGCCCCCTCCCCCTCCTCCTCCTCCTCCTCCTCCTCCTCCTCCTCCTCCTCCTCCTCCTCCTCCTCCTCCTCCTCCTCCTCCTCCTTCGCCCCCGTCGGCATATCCAGGCGTGTTAT